AAATTCCAAAAAATGGGAGAAAAAAATTTGTTAGCGGGGCGGGCACGGGGGCACAGTATTTCCCAACGGGGTGGGGCTGGACAAGAAAATTCAACCCGTCGAGGGTCTCGGGGCGGGTATGGACTTGACAAAAATTAAAAGTGGTGGGGCGGGATTTAAGGAAACCCACTCCAAACCCGCCCCGTTGCCATCCCCGTGTATCCCTTACCTTCTCTCCTTGCCGGCTCAGTTCTCCACCTTTTCTCCTTTCTCTCTCTTCTCTCTTCTTTCTCTTTTTCTTTCTGCCCCTGTCCTCTCTGCTTTCGCCGCCGTCAAGCTTGAGAGTTGAGAGATAGCGGCTGAAGCTTGTGAACGGCAAACCCGAACTGGAACAGCGGGCGATGGAACTAATATGGGTTTTGATTTTTTGAACAATCTGAAATGATATGCCGATATGGGTTTTGAACTTTTGATTTTTGCAGACAGATAGATAAACTAAAATATATGGGTTTTGAACTTCTGATTCTTGTAGATTTTGTAGTTTGCAGTTGGAGAGAGAGCGAGTGGGGGCAAGTTCAGAGTCGAGAATGAGAATAGAGATGGAGGCGATTGGGGAGGCTGAAATGATTTGCCCTAAAAATTTATGGGTTTTGATTTTTTGAACAATCTAAAATGATATGCCGATATGGGTTTTGAACTTTTGATTATTGCAGACAGATAAATAAACTGAAATATACGGGTTTTGTAGTTTGCAGTTGGAGAGAGAGAGGGGGCAAGTTCAGAGTCAAGAACAAGAATAGAGATGGAGGCAATTGGGGAGGCTGAAATGATTTGCCCTAAAAATATTGCCAGCGCTGGCAATTGAGGAGACGACCTTCACGATGTTGCCGGCGGCTTAGACAACCGGTTCTGCGCCCTCCTCTATCAACCCTTTTCATGCTCTCCGGTGCCGGCAATTGAGGAGAGAAGTGGAGAGCTGAGCCTGCGAGGAGAGAAGTGAGGAATACATCTGTCTTAATTCTATTGGCTTGTGATGCCATGTCAGCAAAGTGACGTGGAACCTCCGTTACTGCCAATAATTTCTCCTACCCTAGGAGGTTATAGCAGGTGCAAAATCACATCGAGTCTTACAATAACCATTTTTCTCCTTTTTGGAATAATTGGCTGTGAAAACGCCACATTAATTAAAAATATTGACTAACTAATTTTTCACCACCTATTTTTAAGTTGTATTCCATATATATATAAACTTTAAACATTATTTTCAAAATACGATAGAAGTTATTTTAATAGAGAAGGTGGGTCCGGTTTAATATTATTTAACTCTTAATTTTGTATTCTAGATCGTTTTTCTCCCTCTCCTTGGTCTCTGGTATTTCATTTTGGGGGTACAACAAATTTGTTCCTTTTGTCTGAATAATTGTTAGTTCATTCCAATTTCATATTGTTTAAGTGGTTTAACTTGAATTTATGTGATAAGTCAATTCTCTTCACTTCGTCTAAAAATTGTTGGTTTATTGATTCATAATTTGTTACTCTGGAATTGAAGAAGAATCTCGGTCTGTGTTGGTGTTCTTCTCTCTATATCTTTGTGTCTATTCTTGATCATTCTCCTACTCAATTACGTACTGCAATTACTCTCTTTAGTAAAATTTTGTTGGGATTTTACATATAACATAAGCATGAAATAAAATACATACTACTTGGGATACAAATTACATATTGTTTGGGATGTTAAGTAGATTATAATTTGAACTAGTGTTTCTCCAATTAGAGTCAATGACTATAATCTAGACAATTATTGTGATTCAGTAGGATTATGTTTGGACGTTATGTACAAATAATCCATTAGGATTATGTTAGGATGTTGCGTATAACTTATATTGACTTAAATTACAAACTGTTTAGGATGTTATGCACTATACAAATAATTAAAAAAAAAAACTGTACCAATCCAGATGTTGCCCTATTCTGATATTGCTCTGTTAATTTGGAATAAAATGACATGGTATACGAAGTTAGGGAATGGGAAATTTATGTAAATAAAGGAATGGAGAAATAGATTTGTGATTCGTTTTGGAAACAAATCAAAATATGTATTGTTCCTGGGCTGTAAATAAAGGAATGAAGAAATAGATTTGTGATTCGTTTTGGAAATAAATCAAAATATATATTTTTCCTGGGCTAATGTTGTTTTGTTAATTTAGAATAAAATGACCTAGAAGAAAGGGAAGGAGAAATTTATGGAACCAAAGGAATAGAGAAATAGATTTGTGATTCGTTTTGGAAACAAATCAAAATATAAATTCGGAAGAAAGGGAGGAGGAAACGTCGTTTATATATACAGAAATTGTATATAAATAAAATATAAAATTTTAAACTGTAAATTAATAAAATACAAAATTTTAACCATTCTTAATTTTTACTATTTATTTATTTTATTGGAGGAATTGGATGTACTATACAACTGGAGATGATCTTACTTCAATTATAGTAATGGGCTAATGTGGGTCGTCCCTATTTCATTCCACCTATTACAATATAATAATATTAGCACTTCAAATTTTGATAAATCTAAGATTGTGATTGGAAGATTTGTCAAGTTGATGTTTAGTGGGGTAAGGAATTGAACAGAGTTTAATCTCTTGATTAGTGGACTTATTAGTTATTGATTTAAACAGTAAGTAGAAGTTGATATTTGTTGGTTAATGAAGGGGCAGATAAGGGATAATTTCCTCCTATCCGAAAAGTTGACAGGTCACGTGAAGCTCGTGTTATCGGTGGTGGTACGGACTTTGTTTCCATAATTTATAAGATTTGTTGGGCCTGAGCTTTGGTACGGTGTAGCAAGAAATAGTAGGTAGCCGGTCGGCGGGGCCGGAGGTCTGTGCTGCTGTGGCAGAAGGAATCTGGATTGTGTCAGTGGACGGTGCTGTCGTGTTTCTATTGAAAAGCAAGTTTTTAAAGTAAAAATGTTATTGGAGTGGGCTCCACTTCATTTCATGTCATACTCATCAATGGCCATGCCAAAGGTCTCCGCTGCTGTTGCCAGGAAGATGTTCGCTGTCATTTCCATGCAATACCTATTCGTATATAACCATATACTCCTAATCGTTTGGAATTTTTTAAATTACGAAATAGTAACTCACATGTATTGCAAGTACTAATAAAACAAAAAACACAAAAGAGGAATTGGTTGCAAACTTGCGAATGGGTCCTCACTTATTGGTTGTTCATAAACCAATTTGAAAGGATATATATATATATATATATATATATATATATATATCGGTCTTGGTCAAGTCAATTTTTTTTCTTTTTCTATTTTGTGCCAAAAAAAGAAAAAGAAAATGAAGTCACACAAGATAAATATTTGATTATATAACATTTTACAAGTGAACACCATTACTTTATTTGTTATATAAATGAACCTATTAAAATAAATAAATTTAACAATTCATTGCAAAAATCATTTTTCAATATTTAATGGACTCGCATCAGCGCATGTATGTATAATAGTGAGTAACATTTGTCTAAAAGAGATATTTTTTTTGGAACAAATGAAATTTAAGTTAATATTGAATTAGTTTGGTGGTACTTTTGTAGTAGAATGGCATGAGTGAGTGAGTGAGTAAGTGAGTGACAAGGATAATCTTGTTGTCCAAGGTGTCCAAGCTCCCAACCTAATGGATAAAGATCTTCTCAATTAATTTTTTTTTTTTTGAAAATTAATATTTAATTGGCTAGTGATAATATTATAATAGAATGACATGATATCCCAGTTAATCTTGATGTCTAAAGTGTCCACGATCCCATCATCCTTGTGATATTTCTTAGTGGATAAAGATCTTTTAAATTGAAATTTTCTTTTAAATTGAATATTTCTTTTTTATTTATTTTTTGAACTAAATGCGCTACTAAGTAATGTCATTTTCATGTATTATAAATGTAATATATATTTTTATTTATATCCTTACATTTCTTCTTCAAAAATATAAATCATGATGTGACACATTACATTTCTTATCGGAACAATCAGAGTTGTAAATAAAACCGGTCAGTTCCTAATTTTCGAAGGGGGTTAGGGTTGGAGCTTCTAAAAACAATTCACAATGTTTTCTTCTTTGACCCAGCTGAAGCAAATTTACAATGGTACTTTTTTTTTTTTTCCTTCTTCTTGTTGAATAATGCTGGCCTTCCTCTGTTATAAAGGATCTGCAATGTTGTGACTTGTTGAGTTACTGATATATACATATGTGATCTAAACCCTAAACGCACGCATATAGATAGAGAAAGAGAACACCAACAAGTTGAATAACTTTTGGTTACGATTTGTTGCTGAATAGAAATTGGGTTTTTATTTTAATGTATAGATATCACGTGTATAGTATATAATAATGGGTTTAATGGTCATAAGAGTATTTTTGGCATTCACATCATTCGCTAAAGTTCAAACAGTGAACTAACAATTTTACAACCAAATAATTTAAGGAGTTAAATGTCAAAATAATAATTTAACGTGAGTTCGAAATTGAAAAGAAAGTTTTAAGGGGATTCAGCGCACTTAACCCTAATTTTTGTTTTTTTTTTCAAGTCAAATACCTATAAATTCATTCATAAAAAGTCAAATACCTTTAACATTATTTACGTTTTTTGTCTCTTGTTTTTGGTATTCTCGGGCTTATCCTTGCCAAAAAAAAAAAAAAATTCAAATTATTATTTGCTAATCTCTTTTACATTATTATTAAGTTTCTTTTGATCTGATAATCTGACATATTATATTTATGAAAAATGAATTAATAGATTACTCAATCCATCAAGAGTATTACTGTGTTTGACCCGATCCAAACCCAATGCATTTGACGACCGAACTCCATGCATAATTGCATACAAGGGGTGCTTGATCTGTCATCTGTGGGCTCGACTTTAAAACCCCAGAAAATCCAACGACTGTGCTTAGCCAGCTAAAACAAGCAATGTATACATCCTCCTTTCCCAACACAACCTTCCGTTTTGCCCTTTATGTCATTTTCCAACCGTCACGCACATACACATACATACACACTCACAGCATTTCCTTCGGAGTGACACTTCGTCTAGTGTCTCGCTCACCACACTTCATATACCCACTGTTTTCCTAGGGTTTCTATTATTATTATTATTATTATTGTTTTGAATTTCCATATTATGCGTAGAAACCCTGCTCCGGTCGCCGTTCGGCGAGGCAGACCGCCACCTTCCTCTCCGCGGAGAGGTGATATTCCGTCGAATTTCCGGTCACTGCGGCCACCGTACCAAGGGCGGAAGCCCCAGTTCCCGGCGAATCACTGCAACGACCACCCTGCGGATTCCTTCAAGTACCACCCCCCTAACTTCGTCGTGGAGCTTCACTCCGAAAATTGCACTTTCAGTAAGGCCGAAGTCGAGAGATTGATCGCGAATTGCAAGTCGAAGGCCGACAGTTTCACCGTTCACCACTCGGGTATTGTCGCTGCAACCTTGTCTTTGCAGCAATGGACCGACGCACTCGAAACGATGGTATATTTTTGGAAAATTCGTCTCGACGATGTTTGTTCTGTTATGCCATGTCTCATACCGAATGTTTTCGTGGAGTCTGATATGGACGAGCTTGATGATCGGCTCAAAACACTATTTTCTGAGCGTGTGAAGGGGTTTCTTGAAGGCGATTTGGTGAAGAAGTGGCAGAGGAATTTAGGGATCGTGTTGAAAGAGATTGCTAGTATTACAACTACTCTCAGTAAGCCAAACCGAATTATTGATCACAACAAGCTTTTGGATAAGAGGGCAGGGCTTAATTCTGAGAGGGATTTGATGGAAAAGAGGATTCAGGAGTTTAAGTCTGGCATGAAGTGCATACTTGCTCATCTTGAAGGGAGGTTGGAGGATCCTTGTGATGATGGCGTGGAGGTGTTTAAATTTGGCAGACGTTTTGAATGGTGTTGGATTTTTAACCTGATGACGAGGGAGTGTCGTCGCCTAGAGGATGGTTTGCCGATTTATGCTTTCCGGCAGGAAATTCTTAAACGAATCTATAACCAACAGGTCTTTTTCTCCTCTTCTGTTTGTTTTGTGAATTATGGTTCTCTTTTGAATAAGGTTTGCCATTTAATTTTGGAAATGGAGCAATTAACTCATTGAATTGAAGAAGATTCTAGGTAAAGAAAAAAAAAAATCTGCTAGTTATTTTTATCATCATACTGTTGATTAGTGATTAGAATGTTGAGAAATAAAGATATAGACTAATGATTGGTGAAATAAGGTCATCACCTCAATGTTAGTCTTACCAACAGGGGTGAGGTGTGGGAAGGGGTAGACTGGATCTTATACTAGCTTTAGGCACTATTTGTGTGAAGTAGCTGCCCTAAAAATGTAATGGTGTTAAACTGTTTCAAAATCCTTAATTGTTCTTTGGATTTGTTGAATGCAGTATCAAGTAAATATTTGTGGCAGAAGCTTTTGGTCTCTTTTGGAAATCTTCAGAGCTATTAGTCAGTGAAGCCTTTGTTTTGAGAATATAAGTAACTGGAACTCTTTCCTGATTTAATGCTCAGTGATAATTCAACCAAGCAAGAATCCCTGTAAGAAGGGGGTTTCTAACCAAATTTCCTTTTTAGATTTTTCTTTGTATGCAATTCCCACTCTAAAACCCATTTTTCTCCGCGATTGCTTTCTAATGTGTGTCCTGTTCCTTCTAACATCCCGGGGCCATCATCACAAGCTATCTTTTTATGTTGTAAATCTCAAAGCCACTTGATTGTTATATCTTGTTTCGGCATCATTCGAGTTGTCAAAATCCTAGAGCTCATTCTCCTTTGATAGAAAATGGAAACTAATCAATGAAATGGTAGTATGGTACTTGAATTTAACTTTCATTCTATCACCAAGGAAATTTCCCTGTGACTTTTCTAATTGAGAGGCCTTTGGGGATTAAATTCTAGATGGGAAGACTTAGATATGTACTGTTGAACAAAGTTAATAGAAATGTAAATCCTCTCCAACAACTGATATGTGATACAGTGATAGAGTGAGAATCAATATTCTTCCTTCCAATCACTGTAATGAAACTACTATTGCCTTGGAGGGTCATGATGGCATTTTAAAGTTGGAAGATGGAAGATATTTAAGTTTGCACCCTCCCATTCTGAATCAATATTACGAGGCATAAGGGAATTTAGTAAAAGATTAGATGCTTTTTCTAAATAGTTTCTATTACCTTGTGAGATGGCATAACTTTTCATTAATTCTTTTCATGTACATTTGGTCAAATAGTATTTTGTTGGTCAAATGATACTTCAAGTTGGAAATAGGAGTAAAACATGTGATGGGAGGCTCAATCATTAGCTTGAATGAGAGCAGGCTGTACTGTTCATCTTACCTGATCAGTTTTTTTTTTTTTTTTTTCCTTTTAAAATTATTTATTTTGATTTAGCTTTTAATACTTCAAGGACAGTGTTGCTTTGAGTTTGAGTTTTTTCTGGTATTTCTTTTGATTGCATATGTGTTGCCTTGTGCTTGATTTTTTTTTCTTCTTTTTCTGGTATTTATTTTGATGGCCATTTATTTGCACAGATAATGGTGTTGATTGGAGAGACTGGTTCAGGAAAGAGTACACAGTTGGTTCAGTTTCTTGCTGATTCAGGAGTAGCTGCTAATGAGTCGATTATATGCACTCAGCCTCGCAAACTTGCTGCCATCTCATTGTCTCAGAGGGTGCAAGAGGAATGTTGTGGGTGTTATCAAGATAACACTATCATATATCAACCAATTTATTCATCTGATCGGCAGTTTGATTCCAAGGTAATATACATGACAGATCACTGCTTACTGCAGTACTACATGAGAGATAGGAAATTATCTGGAATTTCATGCATCATTGTTGATGAGGCACATGAAAGAAGCTTAAACACTGATCTTCTCTTAGCATTGATTAAAAAATTACTTCATCAGAGGTTTGATCTAAGGGTTATCATAATGTCTGCAACAGCTGACGCAAACCAGCTTGCGGACTACTTTTTTGGTTGTGGAACCTTTCATGTGGTGGGCAGAAACTTTCCAATTAATGTCAAATATGTCCATTCTGCATTTGAAGGCACTTCTGATTCTACTGTTGTTGCTTCCTATGCTTCTGAAGTTGTGAGGATGGCAATGGAGATCCATAAAACGGAGGAAGATGGGACAATTCTTGCTTTCTTGACTTCTCAGATGGAAGTAGAATGGGCTTGTGGAAAGTTCCAAGCTCTTTCTGCAGTTGCATTGCCTTTACATGGAAAACTTTCTTATGAAGATCAGCATCGCATCTTTCTAAACTACCCAGGAATAAGAAAAGTAATATTTTCGACCAATCTTGCTGAGACATCATTGACAATTCCGGGGGTGAAATATGTGATTGATTCTGGCATGGTGAAAGAGAGCAGGTATGAACCTGGCACTGGCATGAATGTTCTAAGAGTCTGCAGAATCAGCCAGAGTTCTGCTAATCAACGAGCTGGTCGTGCCGGGAGAACTGGACCGGGAATGTGTTATAGACTCTATTCCGAAAATGATTTTGAGTTGATGCCTCCTCATCAGGAACCTGAGATCCGTAGGGTTCATCTTGGTGTTGCGGTTCTGAGAATTCTTGCTCTGGGCATCAAGAATATTCAGGGTTTTGATTTTGTTGATGCACCTAGCACAAAAGCTATTGAGATGGCCATTGGAAGTCTTATCCAGTTAGGAGCTGTTAAACTAGAAAATGATGTCTTGGAATTAACTGCGGAAGGGTGGTCTTTGGTTAGATTGGGTATAGAACCTCGAATTGGTAAAATAATTCTCAAATGTTTCTGTCATGGCTTGGGTAAAGAGGGCCTTGCCCTTGCTGCTGTTATGGCAAATGCTAATAGCATATTTTGTAGAGTCGGTAATGAAGAAGATAAACTAAAATCTGATTGTCTTAAGGTGCAATTTTGCCATCGCAATGGTGACCTTTTCACTCTGCTCTCTGTTTACAAGGAATGGGAGGGTGTGCCTCCAGAGAAGAGAAATAAGTGGTGTTGGGAAAATAGCATAAATGCCAAATCAATGCGAAGATGCCATGATATGGTCCAAGAACTGGATATTTTTCTCAAAAATGAACTTAACTCTATTATACCAAGTTACTGGCTTTGGAATCCACAGGTGACTACTGAACTTGACAAAAAATTGAAAAATGTTATACTCTCTTCCCTTGCAGAAAATGTAGCCATGTACTCTGGATACGATCAACTTGGTTATGAAGTGGCAGCAACTGGAAAACATCTTCAGCTTCATCCTTCTTGTTCATTGTTAATCTTTGGTCAAAGACCAAATTGGGTTGTTTTTAGTGAAATCTTATCAATATCTAATCAATATTTGGTCTGTGCAACTGCTTTCGACTTTGAATCTCTGTCTACCCTTTGCCCTCCTCCTTCATTTGATTTCTCTTTGATGGAGAGGCGAAAGCTGCAAGTGAAAATTTTGACTGGTTTTGGCAGTACATTACTGAAAAAAATATGTGGGAAATCTAACAGTAGTTTGCTTCATCTTGTTTCTCGTATTAGAACAGTCTGTAAGGATGAACGGATCGGTATAGAAGTTGATGTTGATCAGAACAGAATTCTGTTGTTTGCCTTTTCATTGGACATGGAGAAAGTCTGTAATTATGTTACTGAAGCAATAAAGTATGAAAGAAAATGGCTAGAAAATGAATGTGTGGAGAAATGCTTATATCATGGAGAGCGTGGTGCTTCTCCATCTGTAGCGCTCTTTGGAGCTGGTGCTGAGATAAAGCATCTTGAGCTTGAAAAGAGATGTTTGAGTGTCTCTGTGTTTCATTCACATGTGAATGCTATTGATGATAAGGAGCTTTTGATGTTCTTGGAGAAAAATACCTGTGGCAGTATTTGCACAATCCACAAGTTCACATGCGCTGGACAAGATGGTGAGGACAAGGAAAAGTGGGGCAGGATAACATTTCTCACACCACATGCTGCTAAGAAAGCTACTGAATTAAATCAAGTTGAATTCAGTGGTTCCTTGCTGAAGGTAGTTCCTTCACAGAGCATTTTTGGAGGTGATCATAAGAAGTTCTCATTTCCTGCTGTTAAAGCGAAAGTTTATTGGCCTAGAAGGTGCAGTAATGGGTTTGCAGTTGTCACTTGTTCAATGCAAGATGTGCCTTTCATTGTGAATGATTTATCTAATGTGTTAATTGGTAAAAACTATGCTCGTCGATGTGAAGCTGGCAAAAAGAACATGGACAGTGTGGTGATAAGTGGACTTGATAAAGAACTTTCTGAAACTGAAGTTATTGATTTGTTAAAAACTGCAACAAAGAGGGAAATCTTGGATTTTTTCCTGGTTAGAGGAGATTCTGTAGAAAATCCTCCATGCAGTGCCTGTGAAGAAGCGATTCTCAGGGAAATTTCCTCCTTCATGCCTAAAAGGAATTCCCAGAGTAATTTTGTTCATGTCCAGGTCTATCTGCCAGAACCGAAGGATTCTTTCATGAGAGCCTTGATAACATTTGATGGAAGTTTACATTTGGAGGCAGCAAAAGCTTTGGAGCATATTGAAGGGAAAGTATTGCCTGGATTTCGCTCATGGCAGAAGATAATGTGCCAGAAGTTGTTTCATAGTTCTGTATCCTGTCCTGCGCCAGTCTATCATTTTATAAAGGAGCAACTGGATTCGTTGCTTGCGAGCTTCCGGCATCAAAAGGGTATTTCACGTGACGTAGTAATTTTGTTTCTTTTATTTGAATACATGCTTTATTATTTTATTTTATATATGACATTGTTTTCTTTTTATTTATTTCTTTCTATTCCCGCGGTTGCAAGTCACAAAATTATCTTCTCTTGTGCTTTTGATACTTGTTTAGTGTTCCTGTTGGATTCTCCCAGTCTCCAATCTTTAACAAAGTTATTATTTCTCCAATCTTTAACAAAGTTATTATATATGCCCTTCTTATACAAGTCATAATTAAACATAGCGCTACTGGATAGTTCTAAGGGTACCTTAACAATGAAATTAGAAGCTCGAAGAAATGCATTAGAGTCAAAAGGCTTAAAAATCAGTAGATCTAAAATGGAATAAATTAAATGTAAATTTGAATGATAATATAGCAATAACAATTCAAGATCAACCCACTACTCAAAGTGATTGATTTTGATACTCAGGTTCAATTATAAAAAAAGACGGGGAGATTGATGGTGATGTAAGTATTAGAATTGGAATAGGTTAGACAAAGTGGAGGAACACTAGTGGGGTTTATGCGATAAACAAATACCAATTAAGTTAACAGGGGAAGTATATAGTATGGAGCGGAGTGTTGAGCGTTAAAAAAGAAACACGAACAATGCATCCGTGTAGCTGGAATGCAAATGTTAAGATGAATGTTAGGAATAACTAGAAGAGATAAGATTAATAATCAAAGGATTGGGGTTAAATTAGGTGTGACGCCTTCTAGTGAGAAAATAAAGGAGAGTAGACTTAGGTGGTATGGACATATTCAACGCAGACCTGTAGATGCACCAATGAAAAGAGGTATATTTTTTTATATTTTTTTCCTAAACCTGATTTTTCTGTCCCTCCATTTAGAATAGAATTATTATATTCCACATTTTTTTTAAGGTGTCTGGGGATCCCTCCAGTCACTTTTTTTGTATGTCCGACCTGGTTTTCAAAATTTACCATAGAGATTACCAACATGGGCTACTCCCTCTCTCTTTTCTTTATCTAATAAAATATTGGTTTTTTCATATTAATAAGAAAGATTTATGATGTCCTTGGGGATGCTAAAAATTATTCGCAAGATCTCAGCTCAGCAATACTGGCGATTACTGGAAGTTACAGTTTAGCAGTTTTCATTAGTGCTGTGTGTAAAAGAAAGTTTAAATGGAAAGGCCTCCTCATTTGAATTGTGTTTCTTTTTGAGTATTTTATCTTTTCTCATCTATTTGGGAGCCCATATTTCACCATTGATTTAGTGGTTGCTTCTGTTGCACACATCTATTTATTGTGGAACTTTGTTTGGAGGCATGTAAAAATCGGTTACTAAAAATCACTTCTTCACATAAAGTATGCTACGATGGTTTTGTTTGATATTCTTCATATGTTTCACAAACATGGTAATGTTTGAACTCTTTTTCTTAAATTTTAAGTTGCATCTAATCTCCATATACACGTGACATGACATTTTTGATAAAGGAATACTTTAAAGAGAGTAATATATGTGTATACTTTGATGAGCAATTCCATTTTCTAAAGGTTCAGAATAATAGTCACTGCAACGATGTTTTACAATAGGTGGTATAATCTCCACCTCCTCAAAGGGGTGGTCCTCGTTCAAGCCCCGAATGGAGCAATATGGGTGTGTCTGTTGCTTACTTACCCCAGTTTTGCAATAGCTGGGGGCTTACAGGTAGGATTGTCTTGTTCACAGGTGCGGAATGCTGTCTAGACAGGAATGAGAATGGTTCCTATAGAGTAAAGGTATCTGCCAATGCTACAAAAACTGTGGCGGAGTTGAGAAGACCTCTGGAGCATCTCATGAAAGGGAAGACCATAAGTCATGCCAGCCTCACTCCAACCATTCTGCAGCTTCTGTTCTCCAGAGATGGCACCATGCTTATGAAGTCAATTCAGCGAGAGACAGGAGCCTATATTCTCTTTGATAGGCGTAGCCTTAGTGTAAGGCTATTTGGTTTTTCGGAAAAGATTGATGTGGCACAGCAAAGATTAGTGCAATCCCTTCTGAACTTGCACGAAAACAAGCAACTTGAAATCCGTCTTCGAGGTAGAGATTTTCCTCCTGATCTGACGAAGGAAGTGGTTAAGAATTTCGGGCCGGACCTTCTAGGGCTCAAAGAAAAGGTACCGGGGGCAGAATTCGCTCTTAATTTACGCCACCATGTCATCTACATGCGAGGTAACAAAGAGTTGAAGCAAAAGGTTGAAGACATAATTCTTGAGATTGCACAAACATGTGGTACTCCGTTTCAGAAGGGAGACAATGAAGCTGCCTGTCCTATTTGCTTGTGTGACGTGGAGGATGGTTTCCGTCTTGAAGGCTGTTTGCATGTATTCTGCCGCACGTGCTTACTGGAGCAATGTGATTTTGCGATCAAAAGCCACCACAGCTTCCCACTTCGCTGTACCCATGACGGTTGTGGGGCTCTAATTTTGCTGTCTGATTTGAGGTCTCTACTGTCAAGTGAGAAGCTAGAGGAGCTGTTCAGGGCTTCTTTGGGGGCATTTGTAGCAGCAAGCAATGGTGCATACAGGTTTTGCCCGTCGCCTGATTGCCCTTCGGTTTATAAAGTGGCAGATCCTGGTAGTTACGGTGAGCCATTTGTGTGTGGGGCATGTCGTGTGGAGACATGTACTCGGTGTCACTCGGAGTATCATCCATACATGTCCTGCGAGAAATATCGGGAGTTCAAGGAAGACCCAGATTCCTCACTGAAGGAGTGGTGCAGGGGAAAAGAACATGTGAAGAACTGCCCTGTTTGTGGGTTTACGATTGAGAAGGGAAATGGGTGCAACCATGTAGAGTGCAGATGTGGGAGGCACATTTGCTGGGTCTGCTTGGAGGTCTTTGAGAGTAGTAACGATTGCTATAGCCACTTGGGGTCTGAACACCCAATTATTATTGATATATTCTAACTTAAATTAAGTATATTTTCTCAGATGTTTAGGTGCACATGTACCACGTATGTGGAACTGGGTAGGAGTAACCAACGACGCTTGCTTCTGTACATATGATGTTTAGCTGATATGGTCAATTTCTGAGTGTGAGTGTCAGCGCTGTGAAAAAGTGACCCTACTGCATGACCTAAAACCACCTGTTTTAACAATCACAAATTCACAAATCAAGTGGGAAGAGAATTGAATATATTTCTCGCACACGTACTGTTTGTAAATTATTTTTTATTCTTATTTTTAGTATGAAAATTTACTATTTACTAAGCAGGAAGATTTGCAACTGATGCAAGAATAAACTTTAAATAACTTGCCATAAATTTTATTTTTATTTACTTGACTATTAGATTAAAATCTTTAATTTTCCTTGTCGGGCGTGCCAAATATAGAGCCAATCACATTCAAATATTGGCAATTGGATTTTTAATGTCTTGTACGCTACATTAATGGTGTTTCACCTCTAATTGAATGTGTTGTACTAGAGACGATAATACAATTGTTTCGGGTGACTACTCCAAATAATGGTGATCCACCTTAATTTGATGTGTTGCAGTCTTACAGAACATTCTAAAATAAATTGAAGCTCCAAGTAATGGTGTTTGGGAGTCTTGAAATAATTGTGTTGCAGAACAAACTAAATCCAGATTTAAACCATTTAATCTTTCCGTTGTGTACCAACAGTTCCGCACTACAGTACAGGGATCCCGTCCCCAAATATTATTGGATCCACGAACTCATATGTCTATATAAAATGTAAAATGTAAAATGTAAAATTAAATTATTCATTATATCAATCCCTCCCCTAATTACATGTACGATCACCTTACATGTGTATTTGTCCTTCCTAATTTTGTTGTGTCTAACAAAATGTTCCATCTACCCTAAAAAACCCTTAATCAAGAGAGAGATGCAAAAAAATAAAATAAATCAAAAATCAAAAATCAAAAATCAAAAGAAATATCTGCAACCAAATGCAATGCCCACGCCAGTGATGCCCAAACAAAGCGCCAACGCCACAAACCATGTCATGCTGCCACCAGCCTCCTCCTCCTCCTCCTCACATGACTGCTCTTCTTGCTGCTGCTGCCTCTGCAACTTTGACAATTGAAGGTCGAGCAGTTTTACCCATTGCCGATAACTCAACAATCTCATTGACTCTTCAACCAATGCATTGCACAGGCAATCCCTCTCTTTGGCCAAAACTGCTGCCATCTTCTCAGCCTCTCTTGCCCGGGTTTGCGACAATCGCAACGCCTTCAAAAGATCCAATTTCTCATTCTCTGCACCACTATTCGATTCATCTTCTTGAACCGTCATGCCACAAACTCTGTTCATGGATGATAAAACCTTGTCAGGCCCAGCAAAAACCTTGAGAGGAGGAGGTAAATCGCAGTTCTGCAAGAGGTCGAGGCCTGGCTTATGAGAAAGCACGATACCCATCACCATTTCATTCCCATCCAAACCTTCAGGACTTGGTTTCTGATTCTTCCAAAACCATCCTGCCATTGCTGACTATATATATATATATACGTGACTATTAATTTCTTGGATTGATTGTTTTGAAGGTGTTTGATATATAAAAAAACGTATGTGTTTGTTAACCAGAATTGGGAAGGAATTGACAGAGGTTGTGGCGTGAAAGGAAGATGGGGTTGGTGGTGGTGGGTGGCGTTGAAAAGCAGCAGTTGAACTTGGAGAGAGGAGAGGAGAGGAGGGTGGGTGCCGCAAGAAATGGGGGTTTTTCTCTGTTTTTTTGGGGAACGAGGTTATTAAGATTAGTGTGTATGATGAAGTATTAATGGATTAACCAATAAAATAGAAGCCATAAAAAGAAGGAAATGTAAGTAACAATTTATAAGAATTTTATCAGGATAAGAAGTATATCCTATAATTTTATAATCATATTAACTCAAATTGACAAATTCAGTCTTAATTAACTCAGGCTAATTATGATATCAATGAATTGCTACATTGAATTTAAAATCAAAAGAAATTTAATTTAAGGGAAAAAAATGATTCTTGCATACGAATAAGGAAGTCCACCTCCACTTGATTGTATTGGCTATAAATAGTCAATTAAAAATTTCGGTTAGACAATTTACTGTGAGTGTTCGATGTGAGTATATCTTTAATTTAATCAAAAGAAATTTAATATAAATTTTAGAGTAAAGTACAATGACACCCCTGAGGTTTGGCATAAGATAGTCAGATATAAGTTGGTTTATTTTTTTAATAATGACACCTCTTTGTCAAAAATTGGATCCAAACATCCTCTTAAAAATTATAAAAAGTCAATATTGCCCTTTAATATTTTATTAATTTAAATTATAAAATATCAACACTTTTAAATGATGTTTTTACCCTTATACACTCATTACACCTATATATATGCATATGTCTATAAATATATATAGGTTTGGGTGGTGGATGTCATGGCCGGCCAGATCTTTGGGGCCGGCCTGGGTGTATGGTGGTTTGAGATGAAAAATTGAGTTTCTCAGATGGGTTGTACCCCGGTAACTCATTTAAACTATTTGATTCAAGAGTATTTAAGTCAATTGTATCTGTCAATTTTATATCAAATGGTAATAAAATCAATTCACCATTGTCATGGTCTTTTTGTCAATTTTATAAAATTTGAGAGAGTGTCTTTATCCAAAAATAGACCAACTTGTAACTAACTGTTTTTATGTCAAAGCTTAGGGAAGTTATTGTACTTTACCCTAAATTTTAAATTAAATTACTTTTGATTTCAAATTCAAATGATTTGACACTTTCAAAAGCAACATAATAGTGAAGGATGGACTCAGAAAATTAGGTAAAGAGGAGTAGAATAATAGTAATATTTTATAGGTATATAATTAAAAAAAAATTAAATTAATAAGGTTATAATACTATTAAAAAAAGAAGAAGTAAAGACTCTAGTGTAAAAGCAAAGTGGGTGTGTGGTATTTTATACCAAAAAATAATAATAATAATAATAATTAAAGTTCCTTGTGTGTTATTTTATAAAGGAAAAAAGCAAATTGATTTAAGTAACCTATAATAAAATTAACACCGAGTAATTAATTAACCTTATTAAACTTGGATATTGAGCCAAGTTTGAGATGCTGAGACCATGGTACTGGGAAATTCTTTGCTTGTGCTGACACACAAAGGTAACCCATTTTTTTTTTTTTTTTTTGATTTGTTAGACTTAGTAATAATGGGTCCCATGCAAGGAAACTGATGCTGCAACTTTTTCCCAAACTAATTTGCATTAAATCATTCACAGAGATTCCTAAACGAGACTTCCAACCGTGTGTAAACACCCCGCAGACTGCAAAACCACGTTATGAAAAGTGGACCCTCCAAAAGGACTATGTGTCCATAGTTTTTTGCACACTCAAAAGTGAAAATTTTAATTGTCTGGTATCACCGTCTAATTAAATTTTGACACATAAAACCGAGATATAAGGATAATTTTTATTCAAAAGAACTATATTTCTGTCTATGAATGATATTGAGAACTCCGAGTCTTGCAAGAGTAATAATTTAGTGAATTTTTTTTTTTTTGGTTTTTAATACCAGTCATTGAATCATAGAATCAAGAAATAAATTTTCATCAAATTAAAATAAATTAGAACCAAGGCTCCCAATTTCTTCTTTTTCTTTGATTTGACTAAGAAAAGGAAATGAGAGGAAATTCTCTAAAGCATATTGAAAAAGTTAATTTTGTTGTTAAGTTAAAGCATTATACATTGGAAAATCTAATTACACAACAACAATTGTTCTCTTCAGCTTAACCTTAACCAAAGGATAACAAATAATTTTTACAGGTATGGCAACAATTGATCCATTTGGACTCCTTAGGTGCCTGATCTGCTACGTTTGAATCTCTTTGAAGGCTAGCCATTCCCTTGTATTTGGTTATATGAACTAATTATATAATCCTCCAAAATTATATATAGGGTTAAGTGCAAAAAATTTCCCTAAACTATTATCCTTTTGTAAATAATTATTGGTTTGTTGCAATTAAGAACAAATTCATCACAAAAGACTATTTTACCTTTTCTCATTAAATATTTTCTCTGTAAGTATTAATTATACTATTTACCTTAAATTTATTATTAGTATCAATTTATCACAAAAATGGAAAAAAAAATAAATTTGTAACTACCATTTTCTAAATTGATTAACTTATTATTAAAACTTTATTATTTATAATAAAACGTATTATGACCAATTTAAACATTTTTATCACAAAAAAAATATCTTTTTCATACAATATATTGATGAAAAATTAATAAAATACTTTTGAAAAAATACCTTCTTTTCATGTAATATATTCAATAAAAATTAAAAAAATAATTAAATTTTAAAAAAATTTCTACTAAAATTTTTTATTTAAATAATTAATTTAACAAATTAAAGGTAAATTTTTGCAAATTTAATGAAAACTATCTCATCAAATTAGTATGAATTTTTTTTCATAATTTATTTAGATAAGAAAAATATATTAAATGTAATTCAATAAGAAGGGGCATTATGGTCATTTAATGAAATATAGTATAGTTCTTGGGGTATGTTGCAACAAAATGAGATAGTTTAGGGAATTTTATGTACAAATTATAATTCAAGAGTGTTATTTGCAAATTCAAACATAATTGTAGGAATTTTTTTCACTTTACCTTGTATATATTGAACACTTTTTTGAAGGACAATTATATATATTGAAAAAAAAAAAAAGCGGTTGAATGTAATTGAAAAAAAGTGTTGGTGTGAATATATGAAATATTATAGAATTTCCATGTTCCATGTTCCCGTATGTAGTAATTTGGGATTGAAAATTAATACTTTTGAATAAATATATGAGTCAGATTGAACCCCATCAAATACTCCACCATGGTCACTAAGAGAACACCGTGTCAAATTGTCAATTACTTAGTAAAACCATCTCAATGAACCAATCAATGGAGATGGGTTGTCCTATTGTGGCACCACAAGAAAATAGGTCCATTTACACATTAATTTCTCCCGGTGTTTGAATCCTTATCAGTACGTTAACGCGTAAATGCCTCATGGAGTCCATTGACTTCTACAAGCCAAACCAAAAACGAAACTACCAAGTAAACTTCCAAGTCTTCCACTGGACCATACAACAAAAATCAAACTCAATTCAACCCATTCTCATCAATTCAAGGGCACAATATGTGGTGTTTGGAAAATCCCAAATATCATACTATCTTTGTGTGCTTCCTCATGTAAGAGGTATATCTCTCTCTATACCCCTGTTTTGATCCTCCTCTATTTCTTTAATGGCATTTCATTATCGAAGATTACTTGTATCACCAATCCGTTGTAATGATAATCAAAATAGACGACCACCTCGAAATCCTCCACCTTCTCCACCTTCTCCATCTTCTCTACCTCCTCCTCTCCCCCCTCCACCTTCTTCCCCTCCTCCACTTTGTCCTCGTCAGTCTCCTGCTGATCATGTTTATCCATGTCCTCAGTCTCTTGCTTATCCTCAACACCATAAAAATAATCAAATTTCACTAATTTTGATCATAATGTTATGTCTTCTTGGTCTGGCCGTTCTTTTTGTTGGCTATTTTCTTCTTGTTCTGAAGTACTTTTCAGACTTAACCAATTCTAGGAGGAGGAATTTTCCAATATTTGAGGAGACCCGTGAAGACTCTTTCGATGAGGATCAAGGTCCTGTTATAGACCACCCCATTTGGTATATCAACACTGTGGGCCTCCAACAGTCCATTATCGATTCGATTACTCTGTTCAAGTACAAAAGAGATGATAAGTTGATTGAAGGAACTGAGTGTTCGGTTTGCTTGAATGAGTTCCAAGAAGATGAGTGTCTTCGGCTTTTGCCCAAGTGTAGCCATGCCTTTCACATCCCTTGTATTGATACTTGGTTGAGGTCGCATAAAAATTGTCCCTTGTGTCGCGCTCTCATAGTCTGCGACACAAATCATGTTCATGTGAGCACTGGGGAGCCAAATTCGAGTGATTTGGGATCGAGGGAAGAGGATGATCGGGTTGAAAATGTGGAAAATTATGGCGGGTTGGGAAGTCACGGATTGGGAGAAGATGAGACTAGTGAAACTAGAGTTGGAGCCGAAAGTTCCGGTGCGTTGCCAATTGAAGAAGGGCCAATTGCTGAGGCTTTGGAGAAAGATTTACATCATTTTGGTACCAAAAGTTGTGGGGTTCGAGTCCTTAGTGATCTGGCAGACCACAGGCCTATTGTGGAACAAGAATTACAACCTGTGAGGAGGTCAGTTTCAATGGATTCATCTTCTGCTGCGACGATTTATCGTGCCATGGCTAACATTCCTCCGGTGGAACATGAAGGGTGTTCGGGTACTATGTCAGTACAAGAAAAGAAACCAAATTTGGAGGTAGCTGCTAAGAGGGTGAACAAAAGTTCAAGCAAATTCAGACTGAATTCTTCATTTGGGAGTTGTATGCAGAAGGGGCATGTTTCAATGAAGCGATCACTTTCGTCCGGTAGAAAATTTTCGTCCGGTAGAAAGTACTTTCAATCCAGGATTAGTAGAAGCCATGACTCAATCCCACCACTCTGAACTTGAACCTCTCATCTTCTCATCATTCTAGTTCGAGGTCAGAACACCAATCACTGCTGTTACCGCGCTAAGAACATGTCAACCAAAGTTACAGCAGTCCTTCCTTTTACTTCCCCAACAGAGATTAGGAAGCAGTGTGATGTCAGTGGGGATTTTTTCATAGAACAGCATAAGTTATCGGCCATATTTCGTTTTGAGTTTCAGTTTTAATTATTGTAACTCTTGTTCAGATTGTCCAGTGTTAATGTTAAATATGTGAGGCTTTTCAAACTTTCTGAGACTCGATAATAAGTACTGATTTATGTGAGTTTATGCCATTCCTTTTGCTACTTTGATGTCTAACCACTTGCATTTTTTGCTTTCTGACTAAGATCATCTCAAGTTAGGGTCACATAGGTTCTAAAGTAAATAAATGTTTATTTTACTTAATTTGTGTTCATCAACTAAGCATAATGAGTTTCACAGTTGCTATGTAGTGTAAAACAGAAAAAGATGGGGAAAAACATTCATGTACGGATACTTAAAAAAATTGCAGTGTTACTGCTTGTTCCGGAAAACGGATAATTTACTATTTTCACTGATATAATTAAATTTATAATTTTAGAACAACATAGTACATAAAATTTATATAAGATTTACCAACTGGGAGTGTATTATTTCACATAAGTTTGGAAAAAGTGACAAACAAATATGGTTTGAAACACAATACTAATATATATATGTTTTTAAATGAAAGGGGAAGTACATGGTTTTTGATGCATTTGGAAAAATTTTTTCTCAATTTCAAATGGGTGATAGACATTCTCCTAGTTCTTCTACACAGAGATGGTGAGAAAAGAACAAATTGGATAAAAGAAAACAAACATATATTCTCAATTTTAAACGTGATTTTCTAGTAAAAATTGTACTAACGTGGTTTTCTATTAAAAATTATTATTATTATTAATTTTTTTTTGAAAGGTAAAAATCAATTGCATTAAGATGAGAGAATTTAGAAGGGCCTATATAAGAGACCATAAATAAACACAAGCAGTCTAGGCCTAAGAAGTAGTGAAACCTTGACCGAAGGAGACCTATATTGGTAACAAACCCAGCCCAAGAAGGACCCATATTGGTAACAAACCCAACTTTATATAAACATGACTATGACCAGTTGCGTTCCGGTGAAGATCGCCTGAGCTACGTAACTGTCAGTCTGGAGGGCGTGGTGGAGGTCTGATAACACAGCTTGGGAGTTCCCATTCATTGGCTATGTGCCTGGAAATTGGAGAGTCCAACATTGAGTAATTCATGAGCTGCAAGCTGACTCTGTCAACGACTCTGTTGAGAACTGAGTTTGCAGAGAGAAAATTTTTCTCGAACACTCAGCGATTACGTTACCCCCAAATATTATAGACAAGGGATGGAAATGTGAGGCGTGATGTTGCTGCTCCGTAGTTGTTTTCTCGGCCTTTCAAATGGTGGGATCCCCAAGCTACTAATTCATTCCAAGAAGAGGGCAAGATGTAGAAGGGCACAACGTGTTTGGATAAATGCCCAAATGGGAGCAGCATTGGAAGAATGAGTGATTGTGGGATTCAGGCATGAGGTTGCACAATGGGCATATGTTTGGTGAGTTCAAGAATGAAGTGCACTCTCTGTCTAAGGTGGATAGTCTTGATAGTTTGGCAAGCCATATGATAAAGGAATGTTTGGGGATGGATGGACTCGACCACACTAGTTGTGGCCTAAGATGTCGAACTGCTGGTCTAAGTTGAAGGATCTTCCTCCAGCTCCACGAGCATTGGCGAGGGGTATTGACCTCCCAAATACTTCTTCCATTTTAAGCAAATAGGTATTAACCCATGTGACCCAAAGCATACCTTCTCTGTTCTTGATTATGTGCCATAAGTGGTTCTTTATGGCCACTCTGTTCCAAGCTTGTAAGTTTGGAAGTCCCAGCCCTCCAGCTCTTCTAGGGAGGCACACAGTTGTCCAAGCTACCCTGGCTCCATGCTTTTTGAGATGACATGTCCAAAGAAAGGCTCTAAAGATGGCGGTGAGCTCACTTTCTACACTTTTTGGGAGAATGAATTTTGAGCTCCTATAGATTCGAGTGCTATACAGAATTGCTTTAATGAGCTGCAATCTCCAAGCAAAAGATAGGACTTTACTAGCCCAGTGCCTTATTCTAGCTGTGATTTTATCGATTAGGACTCTGCAATCCGTGGATTTCAGCATCATTGATACCAAGGGTACACCAAGGTACCTGATAGGCAGTGTTCCTTTTTCAAACCCCATTAGGCCAGGAATTTTAGTCTCAACAGAGGGTAGGACTCGTGATACAAATGTTGAGATCTGGTTCAAAATACAATTTTTTTTTTTTTGCTCTAAAGATTATTTCAAATTTAATTTATGTACATTATTCAAGCATTACTCGTTAAAATAATTTAAAAAGCGAATGTATCATATGAAAAAATATGTGTAGAAATATCATGTGAGGACTACAAAAATCTAGATAATAGTCTAAATTGTTTTTCGGACCAATTACATGTAAAAAGTATGTGAACAAATATCTGAAAATGAGAAAATTATAGAAATTATAACTCTAGAATAATCTAGCAAAACTAAGGGGCTGAAGTGGTCTATAAATATACGAATAACTCTAGAATAATCTAGCAAAATTAAGGAGGTTGAAGTGGTCTATAAATATACGAAAGCATTTGTCAATGAAAACCAAGCTAGCTAGTTTATTTTCTAAAATCATGTTCACTGTTAAATGCACTACTCGTTCTTTTATATAAGAAAATCAAATGTTAACAATCAAACTGAACTCCACCTTGTGGTATCACTCTTTATCACCTTTTACTATGACTCTTAAAAATCGATGCGGTGTTCCACATATTCCAAGTATTATAACAGTAACAGAGTTTTTTTTGCTTAAGAAGGTTTTACCTATCCTAAATATTATATCAGTCTCTTTAATATAAGGAGGTGATATCCACATACTTCAATTTGGATGTGTCACATATCCCAAATATTATATCCACCCCTCAATCATCAATGTAAGACCTATATATTATATTTTTCTTTCTGCATGTGTGATGTGTTTTTTTTGACTGTCCTCTATTTCCCATCACCATTTATTTAATGGCCCGTATACAGTTTCATAATCCTCCATCTCCTCTCCATTCTCCCTCCTCCACCTCCTCCTCCTTCGGTTAGTGGATTTGATTCGCCTAATCAGTTGCATAATTTGATCATAATGTTTTGTGCTCTAGCCTCTAGGTGTTGTTTTTCTTGTTGTTGGCTGCTTTCTTTTAATGGTGAAATACCATTCAAACTTCAACTATTCTAGCAACAGGGATTCGCCAATATTTGAGGGTACCCAGGAAGATTTTATCCATGAGAATCAAGGTCCTGTACTAGATCACCCTATAAGGTATAGCAACACTCTAGGTCTCCAACAGTCTCTTATCAATTCCATCGCTGTGTTCAAGTGCAAAAGAGATGATGGGTTGATTGAAGGAACCGAGTGTTCAGTTTGCTTGAATGAGTTCAAAGAAGATGAGAGTCTTCGGCGTTTGCCAAAGTATAGTCATGCCTTTCACATCCCTTGCATTGATACTTGGTTGAGGTTACATAAAAATTGTCCTTTGTGTCGCGCTTCAATAGTATATTGATCCAAATCATGAAGGCTGTGTGGTTTGGCAATCCATTTGCCTAATGTGGAAGAAGAATTACAAAGAGTTCAGTTTCATCATATTCATCTTCTGCTATGATGGTTTATTGTGCTATGGCTAACATCCTCCGGCGGATTGAACATGAAGGCTGTTCGGATACTATGTCAGTACAAGTATTGAAACCAAATTTGGAGGTAGCTGCTTAGAGGGTGTGCCAAATTTAATGTCAGTGGGGATTTTTTCATAGAATAGCATAAGTTGTCAACCATATTTTTTCAAGTACTTTTAATGATTGTAACTCTAGTTCAGATTGTCCAGTGTTAAGTATGTGAGGCTTTTCAAACTTTATGAGACTCAATAATAGGTACTGATTTCTGTTGAGTTTATGTAATTCTCTTTAGTTTTACTACTTTGATATCTAAACACTAGCATTTGAGTTTTCTGAAAAAGATCATCTCAAGTTGGGATTGCACGTTTCAAAAAAAATAAAGGTGTAGCCTTTCTAAAAATATTCTACTAATGGAACTTTGATAATGATCCCATTTCATATTTAGATTATAACTTAGTATTGCTGTAAGAATATTATAGCAATATATATATATATATTTGAATGGTAAGATGAGTATTATATATATAAATAAAGAGGAGCCCATTAAGGGCTAACTACAAAAGCTTATTGGCCCAATGACTTGCAAAGACTTGCAAAGTACAAAGCCAATAGCCCAAATTTACAAACCCCACTGGCCCAACCAAAGGAGTTGCAATTGAATTACAAAGCATATTCCGGTGAACACATAGACCTCCAATAGCGAAGAATCACGAACAGTGGAGGGCAACCTTGTTAATCTGGAGGCATGGGAGGGGGACGGATGAAAGCCCCAGGAGCTCCCATTCAACCACAATGCGTCTGGCGTTTGGATAGTCTTTCACAGAGAAGCAGGACAATTTTTGTCTTACATCAACAAGAACCCTATTGAGAAGAGCATTCGCAGAGAGAGATCCACCTCTGAAGTATCTTCGATTTCTCTCCATCCAAATGTGATATACTAACGCTGCAAGGCAAATTTTCCTGACAATGTTCCTTGGATCGCTGCTGTCCACCCATATTAGACTTGCCCAAGTAATTAGATCATTCCATGATGAAGGCTGAGTGTAGAACGCACAACGTGCTTGAAGAAATTTCCATTAGGGATTGGTGAAAGAACATCTAAAGAAGATGTGGTCATGCGATTCTGGATGGGATGAGCATAGGCTAAAGAGATTAGGGGTGTGCCAATGTGCCACTGGTTTGCGATCATAAGTTGGTAATTTATGCAAACTAGCACACCAGAGGATATAATTATGTTTTGGGACTCCATGCTTGAACCAGGTAAGGTGGGACCAGGGTACATTTGTGGTTGGAGAAAGGGCTGAGACTGTGTGAGATATGGTATGGTTCCTATTAGGAGAGGGAAGCCATAAGATTCTATCTTGTTGGTTTGGAATTGGGAGTGATAGAGGGTTGAGGTTAAGCAGTTGAGGGATGAGGGTTGTAATGATTTGTGGAAAACTCCATGAACATCCAACAATGAAGGAACTGACCTTAGTGTTATGATCAACAGAAGTGCTCAAAAGTTGTTCTTATGTGACAAGATGCTGAAGGGGGCCAAGAGAACACCAATTGTCAA